TTTGCTTGCCTATCTTGGTATATTTCTTTTTTTGTAGAGATAATAGTGCATCTATGTTTTTGAATCCTATCTTTTATGCTGCCTAATATGAACCCTTACCCACACTGTTAGAAGTTTAAGTGGTTGAATAATACTCCATTTTATGGATGTACCATGCTTCATCAACCATTTCTCTAACATCGATCATTAGTTTCCAGAATCTCCACTATTGTAACTAAGTAAAACCACAAGCAAGACTTTTGGTCATTAATGTTTTCCCGTATTTTATTTGCATAATTTTATTAAACAAAATAAGATTCCATGTTACACATTCATATTTCTCCAAATCTGGTTTTTTAAAAACGCCTAAGAGTGCAGTCCCGTCTATTCTGTAACCTTCCAGCGGTGACCTCACACCTCAATTGCAATGGTCCATGTCTCAAACGCAGCATCTTCTCAAGGGGCAAAAGCTGATAATGCTGCCCCTTCTAGGAAGCTGAATATGTCCTGCCCACATGGAGGCTCTTGGCATTATTTGGACGAGGGCTGCTGGGAACACAATGACAGCTGAGACCTGCCATCACAGCAACTTGGTGGCACCATACCCAGGCTGCTGATAATCCTGGTCTTTGGTCAGGCCTCAGTCAGGGCCTTAAGGGATCTCTGTATCCATAGTATAAATCTGAATGAGATCAGACACAATATTATCAATTATCGGCTTGGTGAGGTCGTCACTAAACACTTGCCACCAAGGCTTCTCGGCCTCACCCTCTGCAGGTACCTCGACTCCATAGACCTGTAGGGCCAGGTAGAGCACTGCCACAGCTAAGTGCTGAGCCTGGAAGCGGAGGCACAGCCCCCCATGGTAGCTATCTCGCAGCAGGGCCCAGGCTGTAACAGAGATAGGGGTTCGCTGCCAGCTGTAACGATTCAGCCAGTTCTTGAGGGAAATCAAGTAGTGCAGCAGGTACTTGTGCGGGTGCTGGAAAGAGACCTGGAAGCGCAGAACTCGTAGCATAAGAAGCTCACATTGCACAATGCTGTCTCGCAGCTCCCAGAAACGGGAATCCAGCTCCAACGGCTCGCTGCCCGGGTTAAAGTACCTGTGCGACACGTTGATGATGTCACGAGTACGCAAGTGTTGCTCCTCCACTTTCCCGGCCAAGTAAATGGAAGACATGGCGACCAGGTAGAGGTCATAAGCGTCCAGGTTGATCTCGCAGAAGAACTTATGGTAAATGGTGCACGCGGTGGCGATGGGGATGGACTGCATGCCTAGCTTGACGCCTGCCTCCATGATAAACCGGGTTACTCGGAAGTGCACCCTCGCCTCGGGCACCGGCCTCTCCTCAGCTCGCGGCGCCGCCGTCCCTCTCTCGCCGCAGTCCGGCCGAACAGCCTCCATGAGGCCCAGCAGGCCGCCCCGGAAGGAGAAGCTCTCCGGCGCGCCGAGGCCGGCTCCGGGGGTCCTCGCGGAGGGGGCGTGGTCGCTTGGCGGCACGCCCCCGTCCCGCCCCGCCGCCACACCCACCCTGTCCGGCTTTTTCCCTAGATTAAAGATGCGATCTCAGGAGATTCTTGCTGGAGCCGAGGGAGTGCTATTTTTAAGACATTTGAGACTATACCATTTATAATTTAGGGGATTCTTCTCACTGTCCTTGAAAATCCAGGTTCTGGACAGGACAGGATGAGAGCCAGCCTTCGCCCTAGCGTTCACCTCTGTGTCCTTGGGGACCTTGGTGGACCCTCTGTGTTGTGTCTCAGTTCATTAGATGCAAGTCAGAGTGGTTGGCTGTCCCCTCCTCATGGAGCACTTATGAAAAATGAACAAGTGATATAGGCAAATCAAGTGTGCTTTGATTTGTTTTCGAGGAAGGATTTCTGTACTTTGTACAGCCTGGCCTTGCACTTTTGAGCCTCTAACCCTAGCCTCCTTGGTGCTGGGATTTCAGGTGTGCACCTTAGTCAGCTCATAAACTTTTTTTTAGAGACAGTGTTTCTCTGTGTAGCCCTAGCTGTCCTGGAACTCACTCTGTAGACCAGGCTGGCCTAGAAATCACAAAGATCTCCCTGTCTCTGCCTCCCACGTGCTGTGATTAAAGGTGTGTGTTACACCGCCCTGCCTCAGCTCAGAAACTTTAGCTATTACTAATTTGTTTGTCTTTGGTTAGCATGGAAGATGGACTTTTTCACTTAACATTTGTGTCTTTATATTGTCTTTATATATCTGTATGAATTAGGACATTATTTTATTTTACTTTGTTTTATTGATTGATTGATTGATTGATTGAGACAGGGTTCTCTGAATAACAGCCATGGCTATCCTGTAACTCGCTTTGTAGACCAGGTTGTTGAATTCACAGGGATCCGCCTGCCTCTGCCTCCTGAGGTGCTGGGATTAAAGGTGTGTGCCATCACCACCTGACTCAAACATTATTTTAAACTGGAAAAAAAAATCTAAGCTACAAGGGACTCTAAAAAGAGCTTTATGTTTTAGACGATGTAGCAGATAAGGATTTCTTTCTCAGGATTCATCTGTCCCCCAGGAAGAGCACGTCCTAGTGTCCTCATATTTCTCCATATCTCTCCATTGACCACTTTTAGCACAACATTACCTTCCTTTGTAAATTTTTCCATAAGACTTCATTCTTTTTGTTTATTGGTTTATTTTTGATTTTTTTTTTTTGAGACTTGTTTCTCTGTAGCTTTGGAGCCTGTCCTAGAACTCACTTGGTAGAGCAGGCTGGCCTCGAACTCACAGAGATCCACCTATCTCTGCTACCACCACCTGGCTAAGACTATATTCTCAAGGGGTTTTGTTTGCTTGTTTGTTTGAGACAGGGTCTCACTGTGTAGCCAAGGCAGGCCTGGGATCTGCTATATAGACCAGGCTGGTGAACACACAGAGATCTGCCTGCCTCTGCCTGACAAGTGCTGGGATTAGAGGTCTGGGCTATCACATGCTGCATAAATTGTTAGTGCTGGGGATAGAACCCAGCACTTTACCCATGAGCTAAATGCCCCACCCCTTCAGTATGATTTTTTTTTTAATGTCAAAGGATCCTGTTGGAACACACCATCAGGGGTGGGAAGTTTAGAGGGAAACTGGACTGTTTCCAGAGCTCCATAGCACCCTGACGTCTGTGGGAACCCATTGCCTGGTGAAGTATGTCTTTCTTGGGTCCTGGGGACTGCATTTAGCCCTTTAGGCAGGAGGGCAAAGCAGCCAGTGTCTGCTGCTGCCCCCCCCCCCCAAAGCAGCTGTAAATCCGGTTCCTGTCTTGTAATTACGTCTCGTGTAGTAATTAGCCTCTTCATATCAATGAAGCTGAATTTCCATGGGTAATGAAGTGAAGCTCCAGTGTGTGAGACAAATTGAAATGTGGTCCGGGCAGGTGATGGCCTCCCAGATATCCTTGGGGACAGAGGTTTTTTAACCCTTCCTATTCAAAGGCCTGTGTGCCAGGCCTGGTGCTGGGTGCTCTTCCATTCTCTGAGCCTTGCTACCTCGAGTCTGCACCTTTCTCTTCTTGGCACAGGCCTCCTTCAGTCATTAAAGCATCAGCAGCTCCCAGGTGAGCATGCAGACCTGCTTGTCAGGGTCTTGCCAGGAAGGAGAAGCAGTAGCCACTCTCCAAAGTTCTGCTCCTGGGGACCCTCTTCCTCCCTGGAATGTCTCCTAGATGCTGTCCTTCAAAGGCAGAGTTCTGTGAGTTCAAGACCAACCTGGTATACACAGAGAGCTCCTGGATGACCAGGGCTACATAGCCTGCCTCAAAAAACAAACCCAGCACTCGGGAGGCAGAGGCAGGTGGATCTCCATGAGTTTGAGGTCAGCCTGGTCTACAGCGTGAATTCCAAGACAGCCAGCTGGGACTGTTACACAGAGAAACCTTGTCTCAAAAAACAAAGCAACAAACAAAACCGTACAAAATAAAAAAGCCCCGAGGGCACAAAGACATTTCAAGGTCCCGAAGCTCTGAAGCCAGCCCAGAGCCAGCTGGGGGGGGGGGGGGGGGGGAGGCTGGGAGTATAGATGCAGCCTCATGGCCTTGTGGAAGAACTCAGTCTTGGGACTAGAGAGCGCCAATCCTAACCCTGTCTTTAGTTTCCATCTTCCTATCTTCCCCTGCCCACCCCCCAATGGAACTTGCTTTGTAGACCAGACTGACTCTTCTTCTTCTTCTTCTTCCTCTTCTTCTTCTTCTTCTTCTTCTTCTTCTTCTTCTTCTTCTTCTTCTTCTTCTTCTTCTTCTTCTTCTTCTTCTTCTTCTTCTTCTTTCTTCTTCTTCTTTTTTTTTTTTGAGACATAGTCTCACTATGTATCCCAGCACTGGCTAGCCTGCCTGCCTCAGTCTACCAAGTACTGGGATTAAAGGTGTTCACTACCATGTCTGTCCTCTTCTTTCTTGTCCTTACTCCTTTCCAGGTTTCTCTCCATTGTCAGGCTATTTTGGGGATAACCATTATTCTTTGGCTTTACAGAGAATGGAGTGGAGTATACAGAATGTATCTAAAAGGAAAATTAGGACAGAGGACATTGAACTAGCCTTAACCCCCCACTTCTTTTCTTTATTTTTCTCTCTTTCTTTTCTTCTTTTTCTTTCCTTCTTTCTCTCTTTATTTTTTGAGACAGGGTTTTTCTGTGTAGCTCTGGCTGGCCTGAAACTAACTCTGAAGACAGGGCTGGCCTCAAACTCAGAGATCTTCCAGTCCCAGCCTCCTGAGTGCTGGGGTTAAAGGCATTAAAGGCATCTGGCTTCTTTCTTTCTTTTCTTTTTTCTTTTCCTCTTTTTTTTTTTTTTTTTTTTTTTTTTTTTTTTTTTTTTTTTTTTTTGACAAATCTTGTGCAGGTCATGCTGGCCTTGAATTCCTTATCTTCTTGCTTCTGCCTTCCTGGGATTCCAGGCGGAGCCAGGAGCCACCACACCCAGCTGATCCCTTTTTCTTTTCTTCCTTTTTTAATGTTGATATATACTACTTCTAATTCCGTGTAGGTTTGTGTGTCTGTTTGTGGGTATGTGCATGTGAGTGTAGGTGCCAGCACAGGCCAGAGGCGTCAGATCTTCTGAAGCAGGAGTTACAGTCAGCTGTAAGCTTCCTAACAAGGGCGCTGGGAATCAAACCCAGGACCTCTAGAAGAGCTGTAAGTATTCTTTACTGCTGGGCCATCTCTCCAGGTCCCAGCCTTTCCTTCTGAGATGGTCCCACTGTGAAATTGGCCCTTGAACTCCTACTGTTTCATCCTTGCAAGTACAGGGATTATAGGCATGCAGGACCCTAACTGGCCTAGCCTTGAATCCTTGAACAAGCTACTCAGCTACTGATTAAGTCCCTTAGATCCCTGATCTCTACAACGAGGACAAGGATTACTGTCATGCATAACTCATTGGACTAAGGAAGAGGCTGGGAGTTTCTGGCTTTTCTAGGACGTGTCTAAGGAAGCATATCCATGTGTTGGCTGTGCATTCCTAACTCAGCACATGCATGGTCAACTGAATGTAACCGCCCTTTTATGTCTTAGAAATGTAAAACTACCAAACAGGATGATAAACAGTATATAAAAATGTCATAATGAAACCCATTATTTCAGGTTCAATTAACTGAGAAAAAAATAGTAAAAAGGATCCTAAGAATTCTCCAGAAAATTCCAGGCTTTATGAAGAATAGCCTGGAGCCCTGGAGCCAGAGGAGGAAAGATCTCTGGGTTCCAATAACTTATCTCAGAACTAAATCTAATATGCATATTTTCTGTCTTTTGTTTCATCCTTTCTTTAAATGGTGGCACCTCTACTGGCGGTGCTGAGAGAAGCAAAGAATTTCTCCCTCCCCGGTCTGGCCAAAACTAAACAAATCCTTTCTTTCCCAATTCCTGTCTCCCAGGTTCTTGGTTAAGTGGCAAGCAAGGGCACTGAGATCTTAAAAACACGGTACTTTCTTAATAGCTGCTCACTCTAGCCCCTACCTAGACCTTGCTCATTTGTTCTGTTGTCTAACCCAGACATTCTATGAAGGAGGTATCATTTATCTTACATATAAATAAGAAAACTGTGGGACTGAACCCATGGCTCAGGGGCTAAAGGCACTGGATGCTCTTCCAGGGGATGTGGGTTTGATTTCCAGCACTCAGGTGGTAGTGGTAATTTACAACCATCTGTAATTCCAGTTTCAGGGAAGGTGATGCTTTCTGGCCTCCAAAGGCATCAGACATACACATGGTGCATAGACATACATGCATACACTTATACATATAAAAAATAAAATAATTTATAACAAAAGAGTAGAAAGGTCACCCATGGTCTAATGAATATTACGTCCTTTCTTTAGATCAGCATTAATGATCATATTGTGCCTCTGTGTGTGCGCACTCGCATGCACACATGCATACTCCTGCATGTACCAGAGCAGACCAGAGCAGACCAGGGGACAACGGTATCCTTCCTCAGGTGTTGTTCTTCAGGCACTGTCTACATTATTGTTTTCTGTTTGTTTGGTTTGTTTTTCCAAGACCGGGTTTCTTAGTGTAGCCCTGACTATTCCTATTCCGGAACTCACTCTGTAGACTGTAGACCAGGCTGGCCTTGAACTGACAGAGCTCCACCTGCCTCCCAAGTGTTGGGTTTAAAGGAGTAGGCTACTACCCAGCTTACTGTCCTGGAAAGGTTAGGGTGTCTGGCCAGGGAATCCCAGCAATTCTCCTGTTCCACTTCCCTAGCAGGGGAATTATAAGCATGTACCACCACGTCTGCTTGCACTCATCACCCATTCTCTCAATCTGTACGTGTGTGTGTGTTGTATGGGTCTATAGGTATGAGTGTATGCATGTCAGTGAAGGCCAGAGGTTGCTATCATGTATCTTCCTTGATTGTTTGCCATCTTTTTTTTTTTTTTGTTCCTTGAGACAGAGTCTCTCACAGAACCTGGTATTCATCAATTCAACTGGGTTGACTAGCCTGTGAGCCCCAGAGATCCACTGTCCCTGGAGTTACAGACTCTCTGCCACAATCCTTGTGTTTGTCAGACAAGCACTGGGTTGTGATTAGTTTGAATCGTTCCGTTGACCCAATCTAGACTCACCTGGGAAGAGAGTCTCCACAGGAGAGTGTCGAGATTATGTTGGCCATTGCACAAGGTATGACTACATTAGTTGATGTGCGGAAACCCAGGCCACCTTGAGCAGCACCATTCCCAAGGCTTGAGCCCTGGACTACATGTGAGTGGAGAAGGTAAGTTAGCTAGCAGACATGCACATATTCCTTCTCTCTTTTCTCTTGCCTGTGAATGTGACTAGAGCCTTAAGTTCTTGGTGACTTGATTTTCCCAGAGTGATGGACCATAATCTGGAATGATAATAAAATGAACCCTTCGTCCCTTAAATTACTTATTTATTTATTTTTGGTTAGGGTATTTTATCACAGCAGCAGAAACAAAACTTAGGATCCTAACAAAGCATCTCCCCAGCCTGCTTAAGCTGTTTCTAAGAATCTGGGCTTTTGTTTACATCACAGACACGTAGTCTTGGATTCATACACAAACACCAATTTTCCTAGCTTACCGGTGTGCAGGTTTCATTATGGCTTCAGCAGAAAGTGGCCTAATGCTTGCCATGAGTAAACTATGGCTTTTATCTCTGCGAGACCCCAGGGGCTTTCTCAAGCTGCCCCCTCGATACCAAGCAGAGAGAACCTTAGTCTAGTCTGTAGCCTTAGAATGGGGTTCTAGGGCTCCTTCCCTACCAGAACACTTTATTTTATCTTTTTGGCTGAACTAATAACACCTACTTTTTAAGACTGTGGCTGGTATTGAATATTTGCACATACAGATCAGTGCTGGAGACTGGAGTGTAATTTAGCTGTGTATGTGTGTGCCTCCCCTTGAACGTACACAGCCATATCCCCAGCATGCAATGAGCCCTGGGTGCCACTGCCAGTACCAAATAAAGATGGTCATGATAACACATAATCCGCATCCTTTGGAGGATGAATTTGGGGCCAGCCTGTGCTACAAGAGCCCTTGTCTCAAACAGACAGTACTGGGTCCATATTAAGTGCTTGGTCGCTGTCATTTTTGCCACACACCCCCTGTCAATTATTTTATGAATTAGGCATACAGTTCTCATTTAGATGGCACCACAACGCTGTACAGTGGATGGCAGCCTGGGCAGATGGTAAGTTCGAGGCTAGCTTGCCCTGCACAGTAAGACCTCCTCTCAACAAATAAACACACAGGAAGGCCCCTATACTCTTAGGCATCTTCTTCATCCCTTCCTGGGCCTTCTTCAGGAAGAACTCTGTGGTCTGAGGGTGGCAGCAGTTGACTTGGGTGCTTGATGAGAAGTCAGGGTGGAGTGGTGCTGGGTGACCTTGTGGTGAGCTGGATGGACCCTGCGGTCCCTGGCATAGTCTTCAATAGTAGCGGTGGGGATATTGTCCTTTAAATGACTCGTAAAGGGTCTCTTTTCTTTCTGGGTTGCCAGGCAAAGTCAGGTTAAGCTCTAAAGAGTTTTAAGGAGTGAGAGCAGGCGGGGTAAAAATAAACTTCCACATTAATCCATTATCCTAATGATCGTCCTAAAGATAAGCTTGATCAGATATGAGCATTGCTGAGATTGATTTGCCTAAAATAAGAAGCTCATTTGCATTTTTCTGATTTTCCTCTACTTCATTTAGCTACATTAAGGGACAGCTGCAGCTCTTGCCAAGGACAAACATTGAAATATATGGATATTGCCTGTGTGTATTTATGGGGCTCAGTGTCCTCCCCACCCACCTGTGGGCATTGTAATCTAGAGGAGGCGGGGCAGCTGAGGGAAGTTCAAGGTGACAGCTCTGGTTTGCTTAGGCAGAGAGAGCTTTTGCAACTTCCATTTGATCACATTTTACAATTGATACATTGGTGGAATCAAAGAGCATATCTGGTTCAAATGGCTTCGAGGTGATCCTGGTCGGCAGTCTCCTATGAGGTCATTAACACACCTTCCTTTGTTAACCAGTTATGCTCAACCTAAAGAGACAGCTAGGAGAGATACCTGCATTCCCACTTATAAATGAGAGAACTGAGGTCCAGTGATGTTAAAGTATATGAGTTGGGCCTCATCCCCTGACCTGGGTCTCAGTGCCTTCCAGGTTAGAATTCTCTGAGATGGGACTCAGGTGCCAAGACCACCTCTGAGGGCACATTCCTCTGAGGGGACAGTAGAGTACTAGCAATGCACGTGACCTTGCCTTTTATCCATGTGACCTCCAGACATAAATGCATCTGTGAGCCTGCAAAAAGCATCTGTGTGTGCTTCCGGGCAAAGATGACTGTGAACTGTAAAGACCCCCTAAGCCATAGCCTTTGAGTGTCCCCACTGGCCTATTCCACCTTCAGCTCCAGGCCTCGCTCCTCTGCAGCCAGCCACTCTTCAGTGTGATTCTGTGATTCTCCCGAGGGAAAGAATGTAGGCTGTGGCATCAGATAGTTGTGGGTGGAGACTTCGCTTTGCATAATTGTCAGCTGGTATTCCTGGGGGACTTTCCATGTAGAACTGAACTTATTACCTGTGCTGGCTAGTTTTATGTCAACTTGACACAGGCTGGAACTATCGGCTGGGAAAGGAGCCTCACTTGGGAAAATGCCTCCATACAAGACCAGGCTGTAAGCAAACCCCTAAGGTATTTTCTTAACTAGAGATGGATGTGAGAGGGCCCAGCTTCTTATGGGTGAGACCACTGTAGGCTGTGGTTTTGGGTTCTGGCAAGCAATGTGGAGCAAGCTAGTCAGCAGCAGCCTCCATGGCCTCTGCTTCAGCTCCTGCCTCCAGGTTCCAGCCTTTAGGTTCCTGCCCTGTTTGAGTTCCTATCCTGACCTCCTTCCATGATGAACAGTGATGTGGAAATTTAAGCCAAATAAACCTTTTCCTTTCCAAGTTGCTTTTGGTCATGGTGCTTCCTCATACCAATGGTAATCTTTTTTTTTTTTTTTTGTTGAGACAGGGTTTCTCTGTTGTTTTGGAGCCTGTCCTGGAACTAGCTCTTGTAGACCAGGCTGGTCTGGAACTCAGAGATCCGCCTGCCTCTGCCTCCCAAGTGCTGGGATTAAAGGCGTGTGCCACCACCGCCCGGCCCAAGGTAATCTTTTAAACTGGGACATTGTCCTATTTAAATAATATGCCATTGAACTCCTGATCCTCCTGCCCCTACCTCCCAAGTACTAGAATCATAGGTGTGTTGCTAAAATTCCTTCCCTAGGGGAGATCTAAACAACCTTCCTAAAGGTCCTCCTAACATCTCAAAGACAAACTGAATTCCACCAGACTTCACTGGGGAACCAATGAGTTTATTAGGCTTATTTATAGAGCAGAGGTGAGGGGTTACAGGTAGAGATGTGGGTGGCCTTAAATTAGCCATCCTGGAAGGTCTGCTCCCAGCATGGATGGGGACTCTTCCTTAGTCTTTTCCAGCTGACATACCCTGGCCCTTCCTTGGGTCTACAGGCAACTAGGGCAGAATTGCATGCAACTTGTTGGGAGGGGTGGACCCTCGGTGAAGACCTTCCCCAGCCCTCCTTCTACGAAGAAATTTCAATATGTAGTAAACCAACCTAGTTGGGAATACCTAGCCGGGAAACCAGCACAACTAAACTCGGGACATTGGGGGAATTTTGGCTAGGAGGATAGTCCTGTATAAGATATGCGCCATGCATCATGCAAGGCTACGCTAACTTGTAAAAAACTAATAATATAGTTCTTCAAGTCCAAATCACACAGGTACAAAAAAAAAAAAAACCACCAACAGCTGGATGCAGTGGTACTTGCTGTGAACCCAGAACTTAGAAGGCTGAGGCAGGAGTGGAGAGAATCCAAAGCCAGTCGGGGCTGGTAGCAAGACCCCATCTTTTGACTGGAGAGATCGTTAGATCGTTAGGAGTTCTGAGTACTTGCTGCTCTCTGGTGAGATCCAGGCAAGTTCAGCACACACATCAAGTGGCTCATAAACGCTTGTAACTCTGGCTCCAAGGGATCTGACTCCCTCTCTTAGCTTCTGTGGGTACTTGCATGCACACACACACACACACACACACACACACACACACACACTAAAAATAAAATTTAAAAAAGGTGATGGTGGGAGAAGGTGGTGCAAACCTTTAATCCCAGCAAGTGGATCTCTGTGAGTCCAAGAACAGCCTGGTCTACGAAACAAGTTCCAGGATAGCCAAAGCTGTTTCTACACAGAGAAACCGCATCTTGAAAAACAAAGTAAACAAACAAACAACAACAAAAACAAGTGTAGAAGGCCCTATCTTATAAAGAGAGGAAGTGGGGAGGAAGAAAATGGTCGAGTGTCCTTGCCAATCAATCCATCCTTCAGATCCGAGTCCACTTTCCTGGTTGATTTTGGCAGCTGCATGTGTGTACTCTTAGAGATTGTGTCTAAGTACAAGCAGACAGGTGTGCCATTCAGCTCTGTGTGTGGTGTGGGGGCAGTGATTAAATCCTTTCATAGTGAGGGAGTTAAGAAGTTGGAAATTCTGCTGGGTGATGGTGGCGCACGCCTTTAATACCAGCACTTGGGAGGCAGAGGCAGGCGGATCTCTGGGAGTTCGAGACCAGCCTGGTCTACAGAGCTAGTTCCAGGACAGGCTCCAAAGCCACAGAGAAACCCTGTCTCAAAAAAACAAAACAAAACAAAACAAAAAAAAAAGAAGTTGGAAATTCTATGCATAAGACCACAGCTCAGTGTCACGTTTGCAGTATGAACAGGCTGTTTTTAGGCAAATATGCTAGATTCCTCTGCTTTGGCTGATTTTATGTCTCCTCTAACAAACAGTGCTGGACTTCTCATTCATCCATCCCCTCATCTGGCAAGCTCCCAGACACCCTTGGAATGCGGCATCTATTGTCTCCAGGAGAGGATGTTCTCCCTCACTGCCCTCTCCCCACGAAAGGCTAACCATTTCCTCCCTTGCCCCCATACCTCTCACCAGTTTATTCCTGCTGCTGTTGTCGTGAATTGTTCATAGTGTTTGTGGTGCTGAGGCTCAAGCTTAGGCAGCGATGTGCCTTTCAGCCTCACGTCAGCCCCCACCCCGTGTACAGACTACCCATATTCCACATAGTTTGAAAGGTCCCAGGAGGATATTCCTATCCCCCTCTCCCTGACTACCCACTCATCACCAGTTTGAATAAAACAAAACAAAACCAACAACAGCAGCAACAAAAAAACCAATCAAGCCAGGACCACACAGGCCCTTGAATGATTCCTTCGCTTTTCTGTCACCTAACAATGCTCTTGGAGTTGTTTCATAGCGGAGCATAAAGAACCCCTTTATTCCCTTTCCTATGGCAGAGTGCTTTTTGTGTGGGTACACTATCATTCCCGGAGCCAGCTCCT